TGCAAGAGTGCATACTAGCACAGGTAGTATGCAAGAGTGCATACTAGCACAGGTAGTATGCAAGAGTGCATACTAGCACAGGTAGTATGCAAGAGTGCATACTAGCACAGGTAGTATGCAAGAGTGCATACTAGCACAGGTAGTATGCAAGAGTGCATACTAGCACAGGTAGTATGCAAGAGTGCATACTAGCACAGGTAGTATGCAAGAGTGCATACTAGCACAGGTAGTATGCAAGAGTGCATACTAGCACAGGTAGTATGCAAGAGTGCATACTAGCACAGGTAGTATGCAAGGGTGCATACTAGCACAGGTAGTATGCAAGAGTGCATACTAGCACAGGTAGTATGCAAGAGTGCATACTAGCACAGGTAGTATGCAAGAGTGCATACTAGCACAGGTAGTATGCAAGAGTGCATACTAGCACAGGTAGTATGCAAGAGTGCATACTAGCACAGGTAGTATGCAAGAGTGCATACTAGCACAGGTAGTATGCAAGAGTGCATACTAGCACAGGTAGTATGCAAGAGTGCATACTAGCACAGGTAGTATGCACTTCCAACCCCTTAAAAAAAAAACTTGGCAATGCTTACAAGAAATAATCATGGTCAGCAATTAATGATCCAGAGTAACGTGAAGAAGCTATCAAACCATTGTGTCGCCTGAAAAACCAGACACTGACAGAATATCCGTACATCATACTGACCTGAGGTGGTGGTGGCATATTTGGTGGCACAGGTGGCATAAACTGACCTCCCTCCATTGGAGGGGGTCGAGGTGGCATTTGGCCCGGTGGGCCGAGCGCACCAGGTGGGGGTGGGGGTGGTAGTTGGTCAGGATGTCCGGGCATCATAGGCATGCCAGGCATTCTTGGAGGGAACATTCCTGGTGGTGGGAAGCCAGGTGGCATCATGCCTGGGGGAGGCATACCTAGACGAAGGAAAAAAAAAAGAAAAATGTCAAGAAATGGTGTATGCACAAATGCATGCTGTACTTATCGACCAAAAAGGATGGCTACATAGGAAATTGTTTGGCTTAAGTTAACAGCAAATACACTTAGCATAGTGTGGCCATGGCAGGTCTAGCCTTGACAGATTCTCCTAAGCATCCTCTAAGCTGGGGTTGAGTGATGGGCAGATCGCCCCAGCTGACATCAAAGAACTAGATTATACAAGTAGACACCTTCAACTAGACTATGAGCAGCCCCTCCTTTAGGCAAAGTACATTGCCCAAGTTAAAAAAAAATTCAGTGAAAAAATTGATGTTAGCATGCTACGTGGAACTCTGGAGGTGAGGCACCTTTCACAGAGTGTTCTGCTCTGCACCTAATACATGCCAGGTTCAAAGCTAAGAAATCAAAATTTAAACTTATATTGAAATGTGCCATTAGGCACAAAGGAGATCAGTGAGTTGTTGCAAACTTAAGATCTATACTACTGTAAGTGCACTGACAGTCAACCACTGCAATCATATGGGACACCTTACCAGGGGGAGGCATTCCAGGTGGAACAGGTGGCATTGGTGGTGCACCTGGAGGCATGTTGGGCATATTTGGCATAGAAGAAGGGGGAGGTACTGCCATGACTGCCGGAGGCATGATTGAGGTAACTGCTGGTGGTGCTACAGAAGCAGCAGCAGGAGTCGGAGGTGCATCTGCAAACAGCTGATGAGGTCTGTCAGCTTGTGCCAGAGGATTCTGTGCTGCCAATAGACGCTCTTAAAACAGAATAGCAATTGAGAGAAAACTCATGTCAATTTGAATGGCATGTGGGTTGAATGCTCTAATTAGCCTCTTGGGGGTATTAACTTCTACAGCTTACAGGAGATTATCAAACATCTACAGCTTACAGGAGATTATCAAATTTGAGGGACTCATTACCAGGGGAGGGGGATTCAGCAAACAGGAATATTTTCATAGATTTTGTCAAGGAGGTAGGGGTACAGGAGGGTGTTTTTTTACAGAGACTAGCTCATTAAGGTAATAAGGGTGCCACATAACCAGAGGAAAGAATTTTATCCTGTCAATATCTTAGAAAGAAATTTCATCAGAAAGAAAAGTAGTGTAAAGTGCTAGTACATTTACAAGTTTACTTTCAGTGTATGATATGAAGATAAAATCACAGTTAAATATTTTCATGGGCACTGTACATGAACAATGCATGTAAAAGACATTAATTTTAAATGTACTGCTGTACCTGCTGCAGACCCATGCCTTTCACCCTTTGATTCCTTCTTAAAGGCATAAGAAATTGTGATTGGTCGATTGCACAAGTACTGCCCATTCATTGCTTCCATAGCAGCATCAGATGCTTCAAAACTTGCAAAGTTGATGAATGCAAAGCCCTTGGAGTTACCAGTCTCGGGATCCCGCATAATCTGCATTTTAAAGGACATTCACAAAGGAGATACAGTGCCGCTCAAAAGTAATCAAGTATCAAGGATCGAGGGTCATGATTTGAGGCTCAAGTATTGAGGTTTGAGACACTCGAAGAACTTTTTGAGGATCTCAATCTGCAGTATCGAGAAAATGATTTCATTATTGCATGCAAAACAATAGCGAAGGACAAAGTGCTTAAAATGTGGCTCTTCTTTAAATGTACAGACAGTTCGCACACATGTACACTTACATTACTGTACATAGTTTAGGAATGATTGATTACAATAATATTTCATGTAGCTGTAATGTAATCAACATGAAAATCAAAATAGAGAATCACATGAACGCAGCATACTGTCAGCTTACAGTATTCTCTCAATCAACTTTATTTGTAAAATAAAATCCAGAAAAATGGATCATTGAAGTTCATGAACAGTACTGGCAGTACCTGTGTCAAAATTCTATAAAGACTGTGGGTAATTTAAGGCACTTGTTATGCTGTAGTTCAAGTAAAATTTTATAAAATAATTAATGCATAAATCTGCTATCTTGCAGGCCTTTAACATGCATAATGATTATGCAAACATACAGCTGTGTACAGTAGTAACAATGGAACCTTTGCAAAACAAAATTCTAATTACCATTCATTTTTAAGCAGCTCTTTGCATGTAGTAACATCATGTTAAATGTATTACCTTAGGGGTTTGAAGAATAACTCCAAAAGCACTGAATGTGTCATACAACAGTTTCTCATCAATCTCTGGATCAAGATTGCCAATAAAAATGTTGGCACCCACATCAAGGTTCTTATTGTGTGCTGATGCCTTAAATATCAAAGCAAATAGAGACAAGTTCACTTAGTACGGCTGTACCTAAAGACTAAAAGGACTTAATTTTCTTAAGAAAAACTGATCACATCTGATCAGTTCTTTTTCGACCAATTATTGTACATGTATACAGAAAATACCATAACACAACTTGGAGAGATTATCTTACTACAAGTAAACAGCATCTTACGAGCGCCTGTACTTCTCCAGAAGCAGGGTTCTGGTTTTTGTTTTTACCAGCTGTTCAAGCAAATAAGTAAATGTTACTGGCTATTTCACTGAGACATGGGACTGAAATATTTACCAAAGTTATCCAACATTTTTTTCAATATTTTATGTCTCCTTCCAGCCAAACTTGTGAAGATATCTGCATGTATCACACATGTTATCTGCATGTATCACACATGGTTTGAAAATACATCATACGTTGAAGAAATCCTGCTTGTTTTGACCAAATTCATCCCTCCCCATCACCTCGAAATGATGTCTTCTGTGTTTCATTCCCATTCTTCTTGTGGCCAAACAAAAAGGCCCAGTATTTACTGAGAGACCTCATTGTTGACAGAATGGCATCCACACATAGAAAACCTGCACCTAGATCCTAGTGGGGACCCATCCTTCCCACATACCCCCAGCACTGGGGGAAGGTAAGAAAGTCACCTACCATTTCTTATTTTTTACCTCCTAGGAAAAACTTAGCAAGAACCCTGCAGGAGTACCAAGCAACCATTAGACTGAAAAATAAGTTAGTAGTCTCTTTCGGGTTCCATTGGTTTATTACCACAGTTACAATTTGCGCTCAGGCTCACAATCGTATCAGGCCTCCACTGGCAAATGCAAACGATTTAATGATTTTGTATCCGTCAAATTTCAAAATATATGTTGCGACCGCCCCCTGTAATTCAGTTGTTACTGCAATAGGGTTGAATAAACAATTGATTGATTTAATCATAGAGGCCTGCTGTACCTTGTTCACTCTAATTGGCTTGCCATATACTTTTATCATGTTCATCACTTTGATAGCATAATCTGCATCCTCTTCACCAAGGAATTCAATAAACCCATAACCTTGATGGAGCTGGGTGATACGATCTTTAGGCATGTGAACATTCACTAAAAAATAAAAGTTCACAGGTACATGTGAATAAACAGTCAGGAATTGAACCAAGTGGCTCTTAATTGGCCATAGCTTATCCTGGTTTCTTTAAAAAATAATAAAGCACACGAGAGCATTGATGACCCCCCTGGATGGCACTCTAGTCCATCAGGGTTTACCACCCAGCATTCTTGCAGGATTCCCTAACAGTTTGCCAGGATCCATTTTAATTACACAGCCAGCAGTGTGTGTGGGCAATTGTGAGCAGCTAACTTACAAAGTTTATTATTTTCTGACAGTGAGGATGATAGAGTCGCAAAAAAGCGAAGAACAAAGTTAACATTAAACGACTCCTGTGGGTTTATTGCACTATAGGTGCTACTCGATTTTGTTTTCCGGCTACCAAAATAGACAAGTCATTCTTGATTCTTATTATAGCGAAACTTTTTTTTTTTGCCATAAAATAAATCCTTTATTGACTAAGCCTGTTCAGTCAATAACACAAGACCAACAATGATGCAACAGAATAACCCCAACTGGTGTCAACACAGGACCTTTTAACCCTGAGAGTACAGTTCACTACACATCTTCCACAGAGATCAGCTTTATATCACTAAGAATGCCCTCTGCATTCAGTATGGCCATAACACATCAAACTTCAATCAAGATTGCATAATACAAGATCAAAACTTCAGACTTTCACTCACCAACTGGTCCAGCTTGAAGAAACAGTTCCCACAGAAGGGTCTCTGCAACTTTTTCATCTAATCCACCGACATAAATAGTGGCATCTGAAAAAAAAAAAACAACAAAAGATTTGTCTGCCTGTTTTGTCAATTTTTTAAACATGAAGTCTGCATTCGACTCTTCTGATAGACACAAAATAATTATTTCTTAAACAGTAAATTCAATTTCTTCATTAAGACTGTAAGCTATTTCTTTTACTAGGAAAAGGGTTTTTCAGTTACATAGAGGTAATTTCAGACTACAGCACTTAAGTCTGGATCTTGTAAGCAGTGAAACAGCTCTCTGTTAATAACTTTAAAATGCTGTATAGAAATCATCGTCTCAAATGTCAGTCATAGTTCTAAATTTCCAACTAAGTTTCACATAATAATCATATCTATTTTTTTCCGACTTTTCTGTAAGAAATTTTTAATGCAACATCTCCACTCTGTTTTCATAATACTTCTTGCCTTGTGAATTAGTTGAGTCTTAATTATTGTTTGTTTCCTTTGTTCCTTTCTTTACTTGTAAGTAAGCAGCAGCCAACTCAAAAGCTCTGCTACTTTGGCTGTTGCACACTAATTAAAAAATTGTATATATATTCTATAGCTTCTATTATTTGTTTTCTATACTTGTTTTTTTTTCTTGCTTTTTTTTCTTCTACCTGAATAGTGTGAATAAAAATGTTGATGTTGTTGTTGCACGTACAAACAATGCAAATATTGAGTACATCAAGATTTAGTCTGAACAAGCAGAGAATTTGAGCAGCAAACCATGTAACTTTAACCCTAACACGAAAATCCTCGTAAAACACGACTTTTACGCGATTAAAATTGCTGGCGATGAAAAGATGCGCAGATCTCGAAAATCGCTCGTCGCCAGCCTATGAGGGAGACCGTTAGTTTTCGTATGATGTTCACCGTGTCGTTCAAAGAAAGGACGACAAAATATTCAAAACTTAAAGAAAGAACAGTTATAGCTTTTGAAATAAGGGACTCTTACGCTTCTTCTGTGCTTAGCAGTCCCCTTGTGTTTTCAAGACTTGATATCTGGACGCAGTAAGGTTATCTCTATGAGCATGAATAGGAACTCAACGAAAGGTCTTCGCACCTCGGGTGTCTTGAGAAAGATCGGCCTGAGCACACTACCACAAATAGCGAAGGATTGCTGCTTTTACTGATCTCAGGATTCACCGTGACGTTAGATCTTCCTTAGCGAGCTAGTGTTTTACAAGTCAAGATCGAAGGAACGATCAAACGTACGTTCTGAATACGATAGTTGTTAGTGTGGTAATCATTGAGTAAATGGACATCGTAGAGACGAAATGACAAATAGCTTGACAGTGATGTCTTAAATGCTTGGCATAAGCAAGATATGAGACAAAAGCGATCTGAAAAAGAAATAAACTTTGCACATTACCTTGATTACGCTCGGCTATCGGTCCGGCCGCCATGCTGAAATTATCACCTTCCCAGCAAACCCCGCGGGGAAGATGCAAACAACCGCTTGTCAAGAATTACACGGGGAACCATGCGAATAGCCGCTGTTCAAGAGTACTCCCTCGTTTTTTCCAATTAAACTATATCTCGTCACTATAGACCCTCTATACGTGTGCAAGGATTTGTTACAGGTCAGTGTGTTGGATTGGAATTGCAGTTTTCGCCTTTGGCTCCTCCAGTATTCCAGATCATCAGGCTATGGGAAGGAGCGATCGACAGAAAAACGACGAGGAAGGGCGGAATGGGGGGGAGGGGTCGGGGAAGGGATACGGTGACTCTGGCGGACATTCTCTCGCCCACTCATGTATTCGTCTCTATTACCAACAGAAACCTGAGACATACTACTTTTGCCCCATAGGATTTTATGCGTTTCTTCTAAAGTAGGTGACACGGTTTGGCACCCAGCAGGTTTGGTAGATTTAAAAACGAATAATTTCTCACAAAAATAGAATGAAGCACTACATTACAGCATCACGGTAGTAAAGATGCTCCTTCACTGGGAGCCAGCGTAGTTCCTTTGGTGTAGTTCACCTTCTCTAATTACGTTATTATAATTGACACCTCGTGATTGTGAGTTCCGTCTCGTTCACGCTCAAGAAGAAATAATTATTGCTGTGCAGCGTAAAGCGTTGCTTTAGAGCTTAAAACAGTTCATAGCCAAGTATTCATTGCAATAAAACAAGCTATTTATAGAAGGTGCTTACATACATACATACTTTATTACCACTTCCCCAAAGAGTATTTTCAGAGGCAATACAATTTGTGAATTCACTTTGTGAATCGGTTAATGTGTTTAAACGCCGCCTTAGGTCTCGCCTCTAAAGCAACCTTAGCACTTCCGCTAATGTTAATGTTTAGCTTAATTGTTTAATTAATTTTTAACCTTAATTGTATTGCCTCCGAAAATCCTCTTTGGGGAAGTGGTAATGAGGTATGTATGTATGTAAGCACCTTCTATAATAGCTTCTATAATAGCGCGAGTAATGGGATAAAGATTTAAAGGCGCGCAAGAACATTTTCACCCAGTGGATATTGACCTCTCGTGGGTCGCGAGCGTGGGCTTTGTCTAAAAAACTAAATCTCGTTTCATGTGAGCTGAGAGCGTCAACACGATTAATTGACAATGAAAATTAATCATAAGAAAACAATCTATCACTGTTCAAATCTGATATCAGACTCGTGTAGTGTTAGTTATTATTTTCATGTTTCGTTTTCTTTCGCGGCTGGCCTTTGAATAACAGCATTAATTTTATCCGGTCGGGGTTATCTTAGACCCTCCAAATTTTCGGTAAAAATTGACCAATAAAATTAAAACCGGGAGATTTTTTTTTTTTTTGTATTAGTTTCCCTAAAGCTTTATTGGCCAGTTGACGTCTAATATAACAAGATACTGGCCTTCTGAGGTGAACCTATCATTAATGTCTTTTTCAGGTCCCTGAAAAGTAACCTTGATAGAATCACCGGAAAAAGTACAAATAAACAAGCGCCGCTGATTGATAAACTCCAGCTTTTCATGTTACTTTTTATGCAAATTTACTCGGCCGCAATTATCACAGAGATAAGACACAAGCACTCTTCTGTGAGAGCAATTAGAAGTTAGTGTTCCGTGCAAGCGGAGAACCGAGTGGTATCGCATCTACACAAAGTATTTTCCATGGTAGTTGAGCTTTCCAACCCACCGAGATTCTTAATCACATAACAAAATACAACTGGTAAGTTTGAATTGTTTTTGCTCTAGGTAAGTTCACATGAATGTTCTCTCGATGAACGTAAGTTCATTTTAAAGCCATGTTCCAAGACAATAATTTAAGAGAGGTTTCGTAATCCATCTATTTTTATCAGCATCTGGTTCTGTTCGAAGAACTTACAACTCCATGTTCTGCTCTGGATTTTGCTCGGCTTCTAAGTCATCCATAGAAATGTAAACATGTTCGAAAAATTCCAAGCACACTCAACGTTTTTTGTACATATATATTATTACAAGTAGCCTGAGCCGAGTTATTTAAGACTTCAGTTGCTTCGCTTTCGTCACCAGATACTTCTTTGATATTAGCACTGTGGTTAAAAAAAGTGAAACTCACATGCAGAGATTGATATGTCAGCCAGTGCGTTGTCATGCCCCTCGATTTGAACGGCATACTTCAAACATGATAATTTTTCTAAAATAATATACTTATCTACTCAAGACAGTAAGAAGAAGTGACTCTGTTTTTATAGCGAATTTTTGAAATAAATCAGTGTCATCGCACAGAAATGCATTTATTCTTGTTGTAAATATGCCTTTCTGAAAATTCAAAACTGTCATTTCCGTATGAAGCAACTTTTTCTAATTTAACATTTAATGTTCGCCTTTGTTGCTCCCAGTTCTACTAATGAATTTTTTATTAGGCATGGTAGTTTTGATAAGAATAGTATTTACATAACAAAAACCACGGCTTGAAAATAAACAGAATTGACAATCTTCGTGTCCATAGAACACTTCGGAAAAAGAATAACGCCAACCACAAAGATATTAAAACATGACAATGTAAAAATATTATCCCTCTATAAAAATTGGACTGTACAGATATTTGTAGCTTGAGGTTGAAAGTGAAGCAAACACTGAGGTTTTGTAATCTCGAAAAAAAGCTGTTGTCAAACAAAAAAAACGGGAAAAGGAAAAAAGGAGTATATATCCTTTCTCCAAGACCTTATGTATTGTTGGAGAACGGGTGGAGGGGTTGTATTGTGTGACTTAAGAGAATTGATTTAGCCGGTATGAAATGACTTTATTCTGATGCTGTTTAATAACAAAAAATATTTTGTTCATCTGGCCCATATTTCTGAGTTGATTCGCTGAAACGCCCTATAGTTTGTGTATTTTTCCTAAATACTGAATACTTTTTAAATTTGAGACCCGTCTTTTAAAGTTGAAAATGTTAAGAATTCGCAACTTTTGCAAATTGCATTTCGTATGCAATTTACACTTTTTTTTTGGGGGGGAGTCTTTTACTATTGCGTCTGCATAAATTTCATGCCTAAAGAAAAGCCTTTAAGAAGGTGTCAAATTAACTATGATGTCGCTTTTTAATTAGACATTATTAATATTTGCGACAGGCCTTATTGATATTTGATATTCAAGAAGTGCAAAACCAAAGGGATTTAACACCTTTTCCATACCTGTTTGTTACTCAGGCGCAAAAATGGAGATGATTCCATCAGATCCAGATGATGTAGTGTTTAGAGAGCTACCATACAGACAGAAAGCCAAGAGGATTATAACAGCACTTGCCGCTCTAAGTGTGCTGCTTATCATTATTTGTGCTATCTTCATTGTGTTATTTGCGATGGAGAAAACAAAATCTCAAGAGAAAGGAGAATTATGGACTGAAAAATCAGTACAAAAGACCTGTGCCTCAAAAAAATGCTTGTTCGCTGCTGTTGGTGAGTTGTTGTTGTTGTTGTTGTTGTTTTTGGTTTCGCAAAAATATCGTTAATTCAGTAATCCGTACATGTGGAAGTGGCTGGTGATGAAAGCGCTCCATAAACAGCGCCGAGCAGGTGTAAGTCTCTACTGTTCCTTAACAAGTGGTTACGTATGGTCAAAACTCGGTTATAGACGATCCTTTTAATTATATTTTATCAACTGAGTTGATAACGTAAATTAACCACCGTAAAGAGTTGAAAAGCTGACGTTTCGAGCGTTAGCC